GCCCCCCGTCTCCCCCCCGACGCCACGGCGCTGCCGAGACGCGCTCGGTGCGGGCACTGCTGTCTCCGCGCTGCAACCTCCGCGGGAGCAGCGGAGAAGCTCCGCCTCCGTCTCTTGGGGAGCAGTCAGATAAAGGCAGGTGCGGGCGAGCAGCAGGACCCCGACTCGAAGCAACTGCCTGCGCACAAAGCCCCGACCCCCACTCCCTGGCCACCCACTACCAAGCGGTACCGGAGGCAGCAGGCGCGGCCGTGGCAAAAACGGCGGGGCCTGCAGCGGGGTCCGGCGGTCCGCAGGCTACGGCAACGACTCTGCCAAGGAACAAGGACCTCGCCCCCAAGGACCTCCGGAGAGGCGGGATTTCTCCGGGAAGGGGAAGCAGGACTTTGTTGTGTAGCTTGGGAAGATGAGGCAGATATTTGGAGTGGGGTTCCTCTTGGGGCTGATGGCTCTCCCAGCGGCGCTGGGGCTGAGAAGCTCGGGAAACTCTACAAATAGCAGCCAGCCTCAGAGCTTTGCCATCGTCTCTTTCAAATGGGATCACGTCAAGGACCCTTATGTCATTACACTCTGGATACTTGTGGCTAGCTTGGCCAAAATCGGTGAGTCCGGAGTTATCTATTAGTACATGTTCTCTCCCTTTCCTGTCCCCCTTCCCCTTCTCCCACCCGACGTAAATGAAGAAAGCTTATCGTAAGTCCACTGACCCGTTTTCAGGGGGTTTACTGTACTCTGTCCTGATTTCATAATAATGCCCGATACAGTGCTTAACAGTGTGATTTTCACCTGTCCCGGTGGGTTACCCAGTTCCTTTTCAGCGCCTAGGACTGTGGCTTCTGCATCTGACTCCTTGCAAGCCCTTACAGTTCCCTGAAGCCTTGCCTAGCTCTTGCTCCCGCGAAAAACTTTTTACAGAGTGAAGCAGAAATTGGATCTTATTGCTTATACGATACCTATTCCAGTTTATGATATGCTATTATCCTCATTATGATTACAGCTATATCAGCTAGCACCATCAAAATAAACACTGTAAACTACACATAGTAACTTTGCATTCTCAGCTTTGCTGTGCATTGCTGAACTAGTAATAATTTATAGAGAAAGGTAATATCAGACCATCTGATGCAGCTGAAAAATATATGCTTTAGAGCACAGAGAATTTTCTTTAAGAAACTGGAGTCTGCGAAAGGCAAGGACTTACTCTAACTTCAGTGTAGTTTAAGTGACTTTATATGAATGCTCTTACCCTTGTGTTCTGAACTCTGGGACTTTTCCAAAAGTAATCTTATGTTATTAACACTGCTGAACTAGAAGAGTCACTGTTTCATTTGAATGTATTTTATTTGCTTGATGCCATTATTTTCAGTCCCTTTATCCTTTAGACCTAAAAACAGACCTTCAGTTTGGCTAACATTAAAAATGTCACTTTCAATTTTCAATAAATCATCTCTAAAGTCAGTCTCAACTCAAAAGGTATAATCAGCTGAAAATCCTACTAATACTTTTCTGTACTTGTACCGTTAATACTAATTTGGGACACCAGAATCACATTCCATTGATTTTGCATGTCACAGAAATATTAAAAGGTACACTCAGCAGCAGCAGCTTATGTGTCCAGCACGTAAGCTAAACACAATAAGACTTGAGTCAAAAATACTGTCTTCAAATCCAAATAAAACCTTTTAAAAATGAGGTGCAAGTTATGCAGAGGTGATGTTGTGAAGCATTTTTCAGTGATACCTGCGTCTTGGATTTGGCTTGCATAACTGCAGATATATAACTAAATATCTTTATCTCAATCACTGTTGGTCTACACCTTGCAAATAGTTTGTGTTCAGACGGTTGCCGCATTACCTAGATGACATAAAAGTAGAACTTTGTTTTAGTTTACTTTTATCAGTGGGTTGTATCAAGCAGGAAGCTGGGGAAACCAGATACAGGAAAAAAACAGTGACAAAGTTGAGTCCCTATAAAATTGTGCTAACTAAACTAATACAGACATTGCACATTTGAACCTTCTTTTTGAGATATTCTTCTAAATAAATATTTTTCCTCCGTGTTATTAAGGTTTTGCTGCTTTGTGCGCATGTTACAGTTGTACAGAGTAATATTAGCGATGCACAACCATATCAGTGCTGTGTCAGAAACCCAATGAAGCTAACAGGACAGTTAGATTGTCCTGTATTTAAATTGAAATGGCCTGGATTAAGATTAGCTTGAATTAAGATTAGCCATTTTACCTTGAAGTCCTTAGTATAAACTCTCATTAAAGCACTAATTGTCCTTGGAGTTAGGGATCTGAATGTTGCTGGTTCTGTTTTTAAATTCTCTGCACTTCTTTCACAGCTGCACAGAGTAGTCACTAGTAGGTAGTACCTATCATCAACTCCATCATTTTTCTTTTCCAAAGCTCTCAAATTTAGTTATTTCTTCACATTTGTAATTGCAATCCTATACTACTCTGGACACTGTCTCTGAAGAAGCAATGGACAACTGCTATATTCCACTGAGAGTCTATGAATGCTCCCACTTTTCCCACCAGCCACAAATAAAATACAGAAAGCAGAAATGTACACTCACTGTTCAGCAGCTTAGTAATGAAGAAAGCATGAAGATGTTAATCATATAAGTCAATGAGAAAGGGAACTGAAAAAAACTCAATTTAACAGCCTTCCGCCTGCTTTGGTGTGTCAGGGGTACTGAAAAGTAGACCAGAAATTATCAGAAGATTTTGAATGGCAAAAATCCTATGCCGGGTCAGAAAAGTTTTGTACATTCAAAAAAAAACAGACAGAAAAGAACTGAGAAAGAAAATAAAGAACATCTGCTCTTGTGTCACATGCTTTACTGCCTGAAGGAGGGCAAAGGTAGTGGAGTCAAAATGCTCATTTTGCTGTGGGTTTTTCAGCAGGGGAGGAGCTGTTACACATGCAAGCTCACTTCTGCAAGGCTGCCGAGGTTGTGAGAGCTCTTTTACTGGTAGGCAACTGGGTCAGTAAAAGCTGTTTTGAGAATCGCAATTGATAGGTGGGGATAAGAAGTGTATAAGAATACTTTGCCTTCTCTTGCATTAGAATAACCTTAGGGTTTTGAGGTGGTTGTTGTTGTGGGTTTAAAAAAAGTTTCAGTTCATGATGTTTTATGGCTTGGGGAAACGTGTATTCAATAGGAGATTCTTGTAGATCTTCTGGGACTTGATGTTCATGTTGTGTACATTGAGAATGTAAATTGGTGCTGATAAGGTATTCTGCAACATAAACTGTTGTATGTGAAATCTTGTAAGCATCCCAAATACACGAAGAAGTGCCTAGTGTTTTGGGCTTTGTGAGAAGGAAGCTGCTATTTCTTTTTTTTTTCATGTGAAGAATACTTTTTTCTCTTGGGTATATCTAAGTATTGCTACAGAGAAAACTGTGGAAGAAGAGTCTTCATACAATTGGCTTTCATGCACTACAGGAAATAAATTAGTGTCTGCTATGAAACTTCTCATGCATCTCAGTGTACAGTTTTACATGCTATAATTGATTCAATTTGACCCTCATCATTTGAAATGTTCCAGCTTTTCATCCTAAGGTACACAGTGTTCCACTTTGGCTAATGATCTTTATTTCCTCTTTTGATAGGCCCTCTTATCACTACAAATGAGTATCCTTATGGGATAAGCCCAATAAACTACTTACATGTGTAAAACTGAGCCTGAAAATCAGCTTATCTACATGAAGAGTGTACGTGAGGTACAGCTGAGAACCCTCCTAGAGGACTTGAGGTGTTCACTTCCAGATACTTCAGTTCTCCAAATGGAACAAGCAGTAACAATGAAAAAAACACAAATTCATACATGTATGTATACATAGCTATAGACTAGGGCACTTCCTACTGTAACTATGTTGATAAAGAATGTAATATTTTTAATCAACATAGTTGCACAATATAGTACTGATTTAAGATTAAGGACGCACACACTAACCAGCCTTGTGCATGCTTTCTAAGTTCACTTCATCATGTGCTCTCCTCCTTCTTTATATGTCTTCAATAGATCTCAGATCTTGAAAATAACCTTTTAATAAACAGACACATAAAAGATACAAACACTGGCAGGAAAATCTGCTATTGAAAAAGCCAGAAGTAAAAGGGAGATCAGAAAAAAGTAGAAGGAATAATTACCTCAGAAGCTAAAAAATAGGCAGGAGAAGAAATAGTTTAAACTCTGAATATTGTATACAATTTTTTATGAGGCCATGTCTATTGCAAAAAAAAAAAAGTATTGGGGACTATCCACTGGATGCTTCTACACTTGTTCAAAAGCCCAGGAGACAGAGAGAGATTGCTTTTATATTTTCATTGGAGGTGATGTTGGAGAACTTGTACTATTCCTACTTGTGGTTTAAATCCTTTTGTGCACTATAACATTTTTCAGAAGGATAGTTAATTACTTGTCCCAAAATAAAATTAAAGAATACCCTAAACCTACAAAGCAGTCTTTCTGTTGGTTTAGCTCCCTGAACATGCTCAATGTGGAGCAGATAAGCAACTGTAAGAAATGGAGAGTGAGTGACTATGGACAGGAATGAGGAAGGGTACATAGTCTTTTCATTATCTGTGAGTTAAACCTCTTGCCAACCATTTTGTTGGTATAGTTTATGCTGAGTCTAAGAATGTCCCAAAAGCTTTTTTTTTTTTAACGTCTGGGTAGTTGCACACAAATTCTAAAGGCTTTTATATTAGAAATTTGAAAGCGGGAGTGAAATCTGAATCCAGTGTAAAACCGTCTTCAGGAAAGCCACGATGTTTTGGAGGAGAGGGAGAAAGTAATTCAGTAACAACGAACAAACACTTAGAAGAAGACTGACCTGGTGATAGCTCAGAAAGATACTGAGTCAGATGGGCTTGTTGAGTCCATCAGCTCCTGAGACCCCAGAAGGACTTGACCTGTGAAGCACACTGTATCTCTAAGCTTGCAGAGATATGGGTTCCTACAAATGCTCTAGTCTCTGCATGCCCAGGGCCCCTCATATAGTCTCAAACTACTCTGAGAAAGGAGCTTTTCAGAGTATTTTGTTAACACAAACAATTGCTTTGGAGAATTTTAAGCATGTTAGGGATGGGCTAGGGAAGGAACTGTGAAATGCAGGTCTAACGACCCATCCAATTTAGACTCCTGGGGCAATATTTTCTTTTAAGAAATCAATACCCCTCCCTCCAAAGCAAACTGTCAAAACAAAAACCCGTTTGACTCCCACGTTTCTCTTCTTGGCATTTTAGCACTAGTGAGAAGTGTCAATTACTTAGAGAAAGTGATTTGGGGTATTGTTTTAATAAAAGCAAAAAATGTGAGAATAGCTCTCATGCTGGCAATTCTTCAGTAAGTAACATCTTTAGGAAGAAATATTGAAGGATGCTTAGCAGAACTTTATTGGAAATGTTTACCTGAAAATGGAGTCAGAGGCTCAAATGGTGAGGATGGTACCAAACCCTACAAAGCTTAAACTACCAGCCTTGTCACGTTTCTAGTGTTTGTTAAAAGTTGCTTTCAATAGCAAGTGATAATATGAAAAAGGACTTTGCATTGTAACTAGGAAATCAGGACTTGGGCTACCTTCCC